CTCCTCATCCTCGGGGAGCGAAAGATAATTACTGTCCTTCGAGTCTTCGTGTATGGCCTGTTCATGCGGGCTATCATGCCCGTCTTCCAGTTCATCCTGTTCGGATGTTGCCCCAACAGGGGCTTCATTGTCGTCGGCATCGTCTGGGGTGTTGTTTTCTCCAGTGTCGGTATTACTGTCTTTTGCGCGATGTGACTTAGAGCGGTGCCGCTGATGCCGACATCTGGGCTGTGTCTCAGGAGGTTTATCCTCAATTGGATCTTCTTTGTCATCGTTGTTAGTTTATTTAGGTGTATCTACCATGTATATGTCGTATGAAGAAGTGACTGTCCCGCATCCAGTGAGTGGCGGGTTTCGGCCCTGCTCTTCTTCGGTATCGTCGTCTATACCGTCAAAGTCTTCGGAGCCGTAATCGAGCATGTCGGCTAAGTCCTCGACAGTGGCTATGGAGTGGGTGGCGGGTGGGAAGCAAGATTCTCCATCATCAGCCCCTAGTTCGAACCGAACATAGTTCGACTGTGAGTCCCCCGCCAAGGACAGGTTTTTCAGTGAGTTTAGCATGTCGCCCAAAGGCGAGTGCTGGAAGATGTCTGCGGCGCTGAATTTGAAGATCAATAAACAATCAAGTTCGGCGTCCGCGGGCTCACATGGTTCAAAACTTACGGCCGGAGACAAGTCCGGAGTTCCGGTGGCATAGGTATCGTGTGAGATCAAGTCTATGTGCGGCTCCAACGCCGGGGAATCTGTGGCCTCCGTGGCGGGGTTGAGCTTCCCGTCCTTGGATGCGCAGTCTGCTCCGGATCTAAGGCCAGAGCAGTTATGGGAGCTGTCTCCTGGATGCTGTCCGATAACAGATTTAGGTCATGTCCCTCGGGGTGGCCAAGAGTGGTAGCCGCGGTCTCGAATCCGGCGAAGATCAAGTCCCCACGAATGTCCGCAACGTAGTTCAAGCTCCCAAATCTGACCTGATGGCCAGGGGTGTAGCTTTCGATCTGCTCCAGATGGCCAAGCGAGTTGGCCCGCAGAGCGAAGCCGCCAAACACGAAGATCTGTCCGGGGAGGAAAACTCCCCCTTGGGCAGCATCGTTGTAGATGGTTGAAGGAGCCATCGAACCTCTTGATGACAGCACAATGGAACTCTCAATAAAAGCACCAATGTCGGTGTCAAAACCGGAGGATCTCGGGTAGGGGGTCCCGAACTATGCGTCTAAGGTTGATGGTAACGGGAGACAGGGGACACAATGTTTTACCCAGGTTTAGGCCCTCTCTATGGAGGTAATACCCTACGTCCTGCTTGATTGATCTTGATGAATATGAGTATTACAAGAGTTGATCTACCACGAGATCGTAATGGCTAAACCCTAGCGGCCTAGCTTGTATGGTTATGGTAATGTCCGTCCTCCAGACTAAATCCAGCGGTTTATATAGACACCGAGAGGATCTAGGGTTACACAAGGTCGATTACAAAGAAAGGAATCTACATATTTGGTCGCCAAGCTTGCCTTCCACGCCAAGGATAGTCCCATCCGGACACGGGTGCAGACTTCGATCTTCGTATCTTCACAGCCCATCAATCCGGCCCATGGCTAACAGGCAAGACGCCCGAGGAACCCTTAGTCCACGACTCCCTCACCGCCCTCTTATGATGAGCTCTGCATCTTCGGCTGTCTCTGCTACCCTAGCATCGCCGCCGCTGCACCTCATAAGCTTGCACCCCGCTCCGTCGCCTGCATGTTTCTCGGCTACCCACCTAACACTAAGGGCTACCGCTGCTACGATCATGTCTCCCATCGTGTTTTCACCTCCCGACACGTTTACCTTGATGAGAAGGTGTTTCCGTTTCAGCACCAGGTACCCCTCGTCGCCCCGTCGCCGCCGGCTGCCGCCGGCCCTTCGGCGACTCCGTCAGGTGGACGGCCTCGCTCGGCTCTCGGACCGCCTCCGGGCTTTGGCGGTCCTCGCATCGTGGGACGAGTTGCGTCTTGCGCCCCCACGCTAGCGCCTGCCCTCTTGGCCTCCTCGACCGACCACGCCCACTCGGCCGGCGCCCCCCCTTCACCCGCCGCCCCCGACTCGGGCGCCGCGGGCTCGGGCACCGCCGGCTCGGCCGCCTCGCCGGCCGTCACGCCAGTCGCCTCGGAAGCCGCCTCACCGGCTGTTATGCTGGCCCCGTCGCCAGCCGCCTCGCCGGCCACTCCGGTGTTGCCATCTGGCCCTGTCACACGGGCTAGAACCGGTGTTCACCGTCCGAGCCTGCGGTACTCGAGCGACGAGTACCTCCTTGCCGCCTCCACCGTAGAGCCGTCTCCTCTTCATGCGTCTGCTCGCGCAGCCCTCCATGATCCCCATTGGCTTGCGGCGATGCACGGCGATGCATGAAGAGTTCGACGCTCTCCAGCGGAACCGCACCTGGACACTGGTTCCCCGGCCTCCTCGCTCCAATGTCATCACCGGCAAGTGGGTCTTTCACCACAAGACCCGCTCGGATGGTACACTTGAGTGCTACAAGGCTCGTTGGGTGGTTCGTGGTTTTAGACAGCGCACTGGAGTTGACTTCACTAAGACGTTTGCCCCAGTTGTTAAACCGGGCACGATCCGCACCGTCCTCCGGCTTGCGGTGTCCCGAGGTTGGCCAGTTCATCAAATGGAGTCTCCAACGCCTTCCTCCACGGCCATCTTGAGGAGCAGGTTTATTGTGAGCAGCCCACCGGTTTCGTCGACGCATCTCTTCCTGGCCATGTGTATTTGTTGTCTCGGTCTCTCTACGGGCTCAAGCAAGCACCCCGCGCCTGGTACCAGTGGATCGCCGGGTTTCTTCTGACACTAGGCTTCAGCGTCACTCGCTCGGATGCCTCATTGTTTGTCTATCACCACGGTGACACGACTGCATATTTGCTTCTCTACGTCGACGACATTATCCTGACGGCCTGCTCCGCGGCTCTTCTTCAGCAGATTACTCTTCGGCTACGTGACGAGTTTTCCATCAAGGACTTGGGTGCTCTACATTATTTCCTTGGCATTGAGGTTGTTCAGGGACTGGACGGCTTCCTTCATCAGCAGAAGTATGCGCACAAGCTCCTTGAGCATGCTGGCATGCTCAACTGTCACCATGTTGCTACTCCTGTTGATACGAAGGCCAAGGTTTCTACTTTTGAGGGCTCGCCAGCGTCGGATGCTCCCTTCTATCGGTCTATAGTTGGTACTCTTCAGTATCTGACTCTCATCAGACCGCATTTCCAGTGTGCTGTTCAGCAGGTGTGTCTCCATATGCACGCCCCTCGTGACTCTCATTGGACTCTCGTGAAGCGGATCCTCCGTTACATTCGCGACATGATGACTCTTGGGCTCACCCTCACGGCGTCCACTTCTCTGGAGATGATGGCCTACTCCGACGCAGACTGGGCTGGTTGCCCCGACACACGCCGGTCCACCTCTGGCTACTGTGTTTACCTCGGCCCTTCACTCATCTCGTGGTCGTCCAAGCGACAACCCATGGTTTCGCGCTCTAGTGCGGAGGCTGAGTACCGAGCGGTGGCCAACACTGTTGCCGAGTGCACCTGGCTATGACAGTTACTTTAGGAGTTGCATCACGACGTCTCCCAGGCTACAGTTGTCTACTGCGACAACGTCTCTGCGGTGTACCTCTCCGCCAACCCTGTCCATCATCGTCGGACTAAGCACATTGATCTGGACATTCACTTTGTGCGCGAGCAGGTGGCCCTTGGACGTGTTCGGGTTCTCCATGTTCCGACTACACAACAGTTCGCTGATGTGATGACGAAGGGACTGCCGACTTCCACCTTCAAGGAGTTTCATTCCAGTCTCTGCGTCACTGCCGCCGCTTCGACTGCGCGGGGGGGGGGGGGTTGATTATATGATGTACGTGTATATTGTGTATAGGGCCCACGTCCTGTTTCCTCTGTATAGTTGAGGTTATGGCCCCCTCTGTACTCATATATACGTGTCTGGTGCTCCGATCAATGTATTACGATTGCACAGCCAATACTTGTCCTTCTACACTAAAGAAAAGATTGATATA